GCTGCATGATGGGAGTGGCGGCCGCCGTCACCCTCTAGAGGGCAGAGGGCTCGGCAGTCCCGACCTGAGGGCAGAACTCAGGCTTTTCTCTCCCCGACGCGGCTCCATACTCTTTTGGGGCACAGTGGGAAAACCCAGCACTGCCTTATGGCATTATGGGAGTCGACCTGCCAGTCGTTATGTATGCATTCTGGGAAGAATTAGCCTTGTTCCTTTGGGGACCTGTCCCCTTTTGTCACACACCTGGAAGCTTGGGGCGCTTCCCTGTGCAGGGCGTGCAAGAGGATGGTCTTATAGGCCCGGGGCATCCTGGAAAGAACCGCCGCAGGGCATTGTGGGGACTGGTCCTTATTGTCCTGTATAAGGTTTTGCCCAGGCATTGTGAGAACAGTGCTTATTGTCACACGGGCCATCTTGGAAATTGATCGCTATTTATTTGTTTTAAGATAGTGAGAGAGGTCCAGGGATTTAGCTCAGTGGTTCTGGTGCCTACCTCGCAAGCACAAGGAACCGAGTTCGATCCCTAATACCAAAAAGAAAAAAAAAAATGATAGAGGACTGCATTTATGGTGCTCTAAGATCGTGGGAGCCATTCTGGCCACCACAGACAGGTGTTGGAGTGGAGCTTATGTACTAAAGGATGACTCCACCTGGTGTCTGGAAGAATCCTCGTGTGGTATGGGCTTGGAGAAGGTGTGGGCTGGACGGATGGGCATTGTCTCCAGGTAACCTATGTGTAAACATAAGTTCTGATCTTCTCTGGTGTATAGTTAGTTACCAGATAGAATACAAGATGCTCAGTTAATGTGAATTTCAGGTAAATAAAAAATCTTTTAGAAAAGTAAATCCCAAATGTTGCACAGGACTTACATATATTATTTCTTTTTCTTAACTTTTTCTTTTTTCTTTGAGACCAGGTCTTGCTATGTAGTTCAGGCTGCCCTTGAACTCATTGTGTAGCCCAGGCTGGTCTCCTAATTCACAGCCTCTCCAGTGCTGGGATGACAGGAATGTGTCACTATACCCAGTTTACATATATTATTTCTGGTTTATCTGACCTTAAAATTTAACTGTGAGTCCTCTCTTTTTATTTGAACAAATCTGGCAATCTTACCCAGGCAGAAGGTAGAATTCTCCAACTGGATGATTCCCTACATGTAAGAGTATCATCAGAACTCTTTGCCAATTTGAGTTCATTCTGTCCTTAAAAGCCCAGATCCAAGTGTCTTTAGGACGTTCCCCTGCCAATGATGCCAGCTTTGTCATGCTCTATCCTTTTTCTCTTAAGTCTCCAGCATTACACTTGACCTGTGGACTTTGGAGACATCTTGTATTTTCTGCTATTGTATTCCTAGTGCCCAACTCAGGTCTTGGCAGCCCCTTCACTGCTGTTTACCATCAGGGAGTGCAGTGGGGAGCCAGAAGTGGTGTGTGTGTGTGTGTGTGTGTGTGTGTGTGTGTGTGTGAAGAGTCCACTGGGAAAGAGGGAGAGAAGGGAGAGGAATCAGGGAAGGCTTCCTGGGAGAGGCAGGGGGAATATTTGGGCTGGGAAGAAGTACAGACTTCCTTATACTTGAGGTGGGCATTAAAGAGTAAAAAGGAGTTCTCCAGGAAGACAAGGGAGAGGAGTGCATTCCGGACAGCAGCAGCAGGGTATACTGAGACCCTCAGAGTGTAAAAGGCTTGGTGTGCCTGGGGAGAGGTAAGAAGTTGGGAATGGCTGGAATTTATAGGAGGGTGGGGAGGAGTAGCAACATCCACTGTCTGAGGAGTACCTGCTGTATAGCAGCAGATTATACGGAGAGGCCTACTTGATCTTCAAAACATCTTTGGAGCTGAGAGATCATTTTAGAGGGGTTGGATGACATGGCTTCAACCACCTACCAGATGGCTTACCCCTGGGCTACTTTATATCTTCTCTGCGCCTGTCCAAAGGAGGTACTGTTTCTGTAACGCTGCTATGAGGAATGCATGAGTCAAGGCCCAGAAGCCCCTTTCCTATAGAGTGGGAAACAGGGCTGGAGAGCTTAGGTCCTTTGCTTGAAGCTGCACAGCTAAAGGTCCAAGATTTAAGAGGCAAGCCTAGACACTGTTGCCAGTTGAAAGAGAACTAAGGCTGACATTCATGAACCAGTGCAGCCATATCAATTGTTTACATATTAAAATGTTTCTAGATTGGTTGGTATATCACTGCTGCACCAAGAGTTCCATATCCCAAACCCACAGTGAATCTTCTTCCAGTCCCAGACTTACCCACAACCCACCCTCTAAAGGACTGATGCCCAGCATAGGCCCCTGTTCCATGTTTTTTTGTTTGTCTGGGTTTTTTTGTTTTATTTTTGGTACCAGGGATCAAACTCAGGGCCTGTGCTTGCAAGGCAGGTAGGGAGCCACAGAGCTAAATCCCCAGCCTTTACTTAAAAAAGGGCGGGGGAGGGTCTTGCTATGTAGTTCAGGCTGGCCTTGAACTCTTGAGGATCCTTCTGCCTCCACCTCCTGAGTGCTGGGATTATAGGTATGCATCACCAAGCCTGGTTCTCTACTTGCCGTTCTGATTGGTGCTCGTGCCAGTACCTACTGTGAAGTTTTTGGAGTGTCTGGCCAGGTGTGGTGCAGGACTAGGTTTTAGCCAAAAGGCCGAGAAGCAACATGGTGGCACAGGACTATAATCCCAGCTTTCAGGAGGCTGAGCTAGCAGAATCACCAAGAGTTTGAGGCCAGCCTGTCTCAAAAAACCTAAATGAAAAGAACCAAAGAGTAGTCTCTAGATTGGGAAACTTAGGTATGCTGAGGGGCAGGGCCTCGCGGTGAGGGCTTGTAGATTGACTGAGATGGCTATGGCCATCTCACCTTCAGCACTGACATACCTGCTTGGAGTGCAGATGAATGCTTTGTAAAAATTTATTGTGTCACCACAGGCCTTTCTTCTCCTGTCCAGCGTCCTTCTCTACCTGCCTACATCCTGGATTAGAACTTGTTGCTGGAGGTGTGACTGTGGAGAGCTGGCCAGGGAGGGACGCTGCCCAGCTGTTGCTCTACTCCTGTCTCCTGTCCTCTCCCCTGGCCATGACAGAGACCCGTGAGCCAGCTGAGACTGGGGGTTACGCCAGCTTGGAAGAAGAAGATGAAGACCTTTCCCCAGGTGAGATGGCCTTGGAGGTAGTGTTGTTGGCTTGACTATCATCTTGGTTCAGGGTTTGGGCTGCATTGGGAAGTCTTGATGGGGAGTGGCTCCTTGTCTTGCTGTGGGTCCTGTTCTGACTGGAACTCCTCGAGCTGCTAGATTTCTTCCCACTAAAACTCCTACGGGTTTTAGATGGATTGGGATCTCTTTCCTTGCTGGGAGTTCTAGATTGGCCAAGGCCTCCCTCCCTGCTGGGGGTTCTAGATCGGCTATCATCTCTTTTTTTGTTGGAGGCTTTAGATTGGCTGTGGTTGCTCTCTGTGCTGGAGGTTCTAGATTCGCTGTGACCCCTCTCCTTGATGGAGTTTCTAGATAGTCTTGCATGACCTCTCTCCTTGCCAGAGGTTCCAGATTGGGTGTGGTCTCTCTGCTTGTTAGGTGTTCTGGACTGTCCAAATTGGCTGCAATCTCTCTCCTTATTGAGGGTTCTGGATTGGCTATTATCTCTGTCCTTGCTGGGGGTTCTAGATTGTCTTGTATGATCTCTCTCCTTGCTGGGGGTTCTGGATCTGCTGTGATCTCTCTCTTTGTTGGAGATTCTAGATTGTCTGTGACCTCTCTCCTTGCTAGAGGTTCTAGATTGACTGTGATATCTTTCCTTGCTGGGGGTTTTAGATTGTCTTATATTATCTCTCTCCTTGCTGAGGGTTCTAGATTTTCTTGTATGATCTTGCTCCTTTATGGGGATTCTAGATTGTCTTGTATTATCTTTCTCCTTGTTGGTGATTCTAGATTGACTGTGACCTCTCTCTTTGCTAGCAGTGCTAGATCGGTTATGATCTCTTTCTTTGCTGGTACTTCTAGAATGGCTATGGCTTCTTTCCTCACTGGAGGTTCTAGACCAACTGTGACTTTCCCTTCTAGGGTTTCTAGATTGGCTAGGTGTTCTCATCTGGCTAGGAGTTCCCTTCCGGGTACGGCTCCTTGCCCTACTGTGACTTCTCTTCCAACTGTGGCTTCTTGCCCTACTTTCGGTCCTCTTCCAGCTGTGGCTTCTTGCCTTTCTGGGGGTTACAGACCCACTGTGACTTCGGGTTCTGCTGGCGGTGCTAGATTGGCTGTGACTTTGGGTCCTGCTGGGGGTTCTAGACCAGCTGTGGCTTCGGGTCCTGTCGGGGGTGCTAGACCACCTGTGACTTCGGGTCCTGTCGGGGGTGCTAGCCTGGACATGACCCTGGACCCTGTTGGACACATCAGTTGGACTGAAACTCCGCCCCCATCTGGGGGCCGTCATCTGACTATAACTATTCACTTTCCTCAGTGATGGTGGAGACTGGGTGCAACCTTTCTCCTCAGAGGGTCTTGTAGATGGGCTGTAACTCTTTGCCCTACTGGAGGTTACAGCCAGGTTGGAACTACTTCCTGTACCTGACACTCCTGGTGGGCTGTCACTCTTTTCCCTGATCACAGTTCTAGGCTGGCTGTCACTCCTTTCCCAGTTGTTGGTTCTAGACTGGCTGTAACTCTTGCCCTCACTCTGTTTTTGCTGGGAAGTAGGAGTTCTTACCCTTTTGGCCATGCCTGGTCCAGCCCCATGAGTTCTTATGCTGCGGGGAGTGCTCGCCCTGCTGGGTGACCCCCAAGAGCTGAGGTGTTGTCTTCTGCCTGGAGTTCGGCCCCGGCTGTGCGTGCCTGACGGTGGCGTTTTGCATCGCTGGCTTCACTGGCCCTGGTGTCGGTGCTGGCCCTGGTGTCGGTGCTCACCCTGCTGGCTGTTCTTGCTTTGCTATGCGCTTGGGACCTGCTGCTGGAGCGCTTGGAAGGGGATGTCTTTGTACTTGTCAATTTGGTGGACTTGGAACTGCCTGGGTTAATGACTGAGTTGGGGGACATCGATGTCTTGGAGGGCATTGAGGAGCTGTTGGGAATTGCTGATTTGGTGGTCTTCAAGGAGGCAGGAGGTGTGGAAGCCTTGGCAGACATGGAGGGTCCGGTGGAAGCCGAAGCCTGGCTGGGCTTTGAGGATTTCTTAGGTGGAGAAGGCATGGTGGACGCAAAAGGGCTTGTGGCCCTGGAAGTCATGGTGGTTGTGCAGGACCTAGTTGCCATGGACAGTGACCCGCCTGCCTGTTCCAGACCAACTGTGTGAAGTCATAGTGGGCACTGAAGCCCCTGGAGGGCAGGTAGTGTGAAGTCAGAGGTGGGAGGAGAGGGGAAGGGGCCCCGCCTGAAGCCAGAGATGTTTCCTCCTTTTTGGGTCATTTGGCAACCGTGTTCCAAGGCAGACTGGCCTCAGCATTTCAGGGGTGTGGAGATGGGACAGACCAAGGCCGTGCTGGGAGCAGTCTCCAGACCTAGATGGCCACTACTTGGGATGGTCAGGGTGCAAAGGGACCCAGGGGAAAAGGGAGCCCAGAGGAGAGAGACGCCAACCACCTGGTGGGGAGATCAGGCAGGACCTTGCAGAGGAGGGGATATGGGAGCTGCCCCTTGAAGGGGAGCAGGAGTTGCCGGAAAGGGTCCCCGTGGGGAGCAGCGGAAGGAATCGCCTGGACCGGGGGTGGGGGGGTCAGAGCCTGGGCCCCTGGCCATCATTGGTCTCCATGTCCTCTGCTGGGAGTGGTGGGACCCTGAGGTCAGACCTGCTCTTGAGAAGTTCCTGGTCTGATGGGGAGACGTGCAGAGACCCAGAAAGCCACAACCTCTAGGACAGTGGCAGGGGACACGCTGGGGAGAGGAAAGCCAGGTAGAGGGCTGGGAAGAGACTCCTGGCTGGGAGATGGGGCATCAGGGTGGTGGCTTCACAGAGTACGGAGCTCATGCTGGATCCTGAAGGATGGACCGGAGGTGGACATTGGAGGACAGCATTCCAGATGGGGTCAGAACATTTCAGTGTCTCAGAAAATGTTTGCTAAATGGCGGGGAGACAGCAGGATGGAACAGACACAAGAAAGAGGCAGCAAGAGTTGCGGGGAGGGATGTTCAGCAAACGTTTATAACCTGTTCTTGGATGGTGAGAAACCCAGTGATTACGTCCAGCCAGGCCTGTCCCCTGGTTTGGTGGCCAAGGAACCTGCCACTGCCCTGGGAGCTCGGGGCTGGGACAACAGGAGGACAATAGGAAAAGTGACTTGGTGCCTGAGATGTCTGGGGCAGCGGTAACAAGGAGAGGGTTTCCACTTGGGTGCTAAAGGAAAAGTATTCACGGCAGAGAAGCAGCACATGGCAAGGCCACCACAAAGGGATCTGTCAGATTGAAGGCGAAGAGGGTCAGGGGTTTAGCTCAGTGGTGCCGCTGCCTGCCATGCAAGCGCAAGGTCCCGAGTTTGATCCCCAGTACCAAAAAAAAAAAAAAAAAAAAATTAAAGGCAAAGAGATTCAATCCACAAAGATACAGGCAGTGTCTCCTAGAGGCGAGGACCACCACGGTGAGCTGGGTCCTCGCTCTGGGACAGACCATAAACACACCTGTGAATCAGGCCATGAGAGAAAAAAATCGGGCAGAGTAAGGAGTGTTGGCTGGTCAGACAGAGTGGCCAGAGTGCCACTGAGAAGGTGATTCAAGCAGAGCCATGGAGGAGAGGAAGGAACAAGCTTGGTCATTCTGCAGGAAGGTGATGCAGGCTTAGGGTGTTGAGGGATGGTGAGGAGCCCATTGTGGCTAGTGAGGGCAGAGAGGCGCCTGAGGGCCTGTGGCCACTGTGACACGAGTGAGGGCAGAGCACAGGTGCCCTGACTGGCTCGGGGGACACAGGATCCCTTGGGGCTACTGGAGGACATGGAGGATGGGGGTCCAGTGGGTGCAGGGTGAGGCCACTGTAGTCCCACGAGATGCTTTTGACGCCTGTGTCCCTTCAATGTCCATGGCTCCGTGTGCACACCCCTGGCCCAACTGTGGATGGCGCCCTTTCTTGTACATTGAATTTTCCCTGTTTGCAGTACTTGGGATGAAACCCAGGGCCTTTACACTGAAGCTGCATGCCCAGCACTGCCCACCTCCCCGTTTTTTTTTGTTTTGTTTTGTTTTTTTTGAGGCAGGAACTTGCTTGGTTGCTCTCAAACTTGGTCTTTTTGCTTCACAGCACCGGGATTGCAGGTGTACACCACCGTGCCCAGTGTCCCTTTTTTCTTAAACTTGTCCTAGGCATGTCCTTTATACTCATGGAATCATAGTTAAGTATCTATACTTATAATTAAAATATTAATTCACTTTACATATATGAACACATATATCAAAATGCATTTTTTTGGTTTTTTGAGACAGGGTCTCACTATGTAGTTGAGACTGACCTGGAATTCACTATGTAGGCCAGGCTGGTCTTGAACTCACAGAGAGCCTACTGCCTCAGCCTCCCAAGTGCTGGGATTATAGGCATGCGCCACCACGCCATGCCCAGCTCATAAGGCATATTAATGAAGCCATGTTTTCATTTGCTTAACTACCTGTTGAAATGATTGTTTTCATTTGAAATGATTGGTGTCAGCCACCACCACCAGGTAGCTCTTTATGTTAGAGCTTTGTGGTTGAATGAGTGAGTCATCTTTTTATTTGGTTTTTGGAGACAGAGTCTTGCTTTGTAGTGAAGGCTGGCCTTGTACTCATTATTATAGCCCAGGTTGGCCTCAAACTCTCGGAGATCTTCCTGCCTCAGCCTCACAAAGGCTGGGATTGATTACAGGTGTGTACCACCAGGCTGGGCTGAGTGAGTTGTCTTAACTGCTCCAGGCCTTGGTTTCCACACTGGTCCGGGGATGACAGTAGTACCTCCCTCCAAGGGCAGTTGTAAGGATTGAGCAGGTTGATGTGTAAGGACAGAGCTTTTCAAGCCTTGGTGGATGCTGTCATTGTGTGCTAGCCCTGCTCCACCCCACCTGCAGTTCTTGCTGGACATTTGCTGGACACGTAGGTTCAGGGCATTTGTTGTGTGCCAGGCAAGGTCTGGAGCTGAGGACTGGTCTGTGGGGAAGGAAGCTTGTGGGCTGTCTTACCGGAGTCTCGGGGGCTCAGGGAGGGAACAGCTGGGCAGAGTCCTCTGTCCTCTGACACCGCTCTCTCCCCTCATCTGACCCTGCAGGCCCCGAGCATTCCTCTGACTCCGAATACACTCTCTCAGAGCCGGATTCTGAAGAGGAAGAAGATGAAGAGGAGGAGGAAGAGGAGACCACTGACGATCCCGAATATGACCCGGGCTACAAGGTGAAGCAGCGCCTTGGTGGGGGTCGGGGAGGCCCATCCCGCCGGGCCCCCCGTGCAGCCC